CCTTGGATGCACCCGGCGCCGCTCCAAAATCACAGCTCACCAGGATAAAATGGAGAGCAGTGAATTTCTTTAAGGGTAGAGAAGCCCAGAGGATAATGCAGTCATTTAACTGCCTTGCCTGGCTTGATGTATGAAGTGGATTCTCAAGTAGTTCCCATAACATTTTGCTGGTGGTTTAATCATTACCAAGAGAAAAGCCTAAAGAATGCAGAGAACAGGACACCGCACTTGTGGGTTTTTTTCAGGGGCAGTGTTTTCTTCTGTTTTTAAGAAACGCATGTCTTTGATGAGATATGGCTGCAGGCTACCATTTTACATTTTATGGCTGCAGGCTACCATTTTACATTTTATGTCAGCTACCTTTTGTCAGTGGCTCATTATTGATGCTGTATTCTGTTTTAATTCACACTGCTCTGCTAATCAATTACAGCATTTATCCATTAATCAGGTGTTCTGACAGGGTCAATAACTGCTTTGCAGTTTTGTGGAGTGTTGCACATTATCAAGCAAGTAGCAAGAGTCAGTGGATTAGTTTAGCACGGTGTTGTTTTTGCAGGCTGGTGGACCTTCAGGGGAGTAAACACCTAGTGAGGCTTCTGGCAATTATCTGGGTTTTTTGGACTCCTTGTCAAAAACCTCATCTGTTTGCAAAATTTGTCCTTGCTGGTGGGTGTGCGAGAGCAAGTGCATGAATGCGTGCGCTCACGCATGTGAGCCTGCATGCACCCATGTGTGCCTGCCTTTCCCCATCTGTGTGTGTACAAATAGACCTAGGTACCCTGTAGCCTAAATATCCACCTTATAAAACGTGCCAGTTCAGCTCCATGGCTTGTAACAGCTATACTGGTGGTAAATCATCACCAGCATTAAAGGGTTTTTTTCATTTTAACAAGTGGTATAGATAACAGAGGGGGCAACACTTAATTGGACAGTTACAGTTTTGGTAGTTAAGTTACCGTCTATAATGATGGTAACAGGTTTCAATTATCTTTTTTATGACAGATGTACCAACATTTAATTGTTTCTCGTCAAGTGTGGAAAGAAAAGACACTTCTGTAGATTTTTCAATTCTTCTACATGTCACTTAGCTGTCTGCACCATTGTTTGAGCTCCTTTCTCTCATCCTTTTTGCAGCAATGAGTTGTGTCATTCCCTCATGATCAGCACTTTTGTTGTCTTTGTTTTTTGCTGTACCTCAGAAGTCCATCTTTTCTTTCATCTCCTTCCCATTCATGCATGAGGGAACAGTTGTGCTCTGTTGTGGGGATGTTCCGCTGGATTTCAAACAGTAGGGTTTCTTTTTATTCTCTTCTAAGTAGTACAATGGGGCTGAATGTCTGTTGCAGAATGCACACACTAATATGCCAGGTTATTTGGTTTCTAAGAAGTCAATAAAAATGCTACATTTAGGTTCAGTACTTGGCTTGCTTTTTTTCTGCTGTTTGCCTTTCGGTCTTCAGTTGTAAATCTGTTTGTTTGTTTCTAGTTATAAAATATAATCCTTGATATTAAATCCAAGCGTGGAATCAACAAACACTTAGGAAAAAATGTTACTGGCGATGGAGTATTTTCACACTAGCAGATTTGGCAGACTCTGTCCTCCCTGATAAGGAAGGGAAAATTGCCGCCAAATCTAATTAATGGGGTCTATAACAGGAAAGGAAAGAGAGAGGGAGTACAGGGTGGGAGAAGATGCAATCATGAGTTCATCTTGGCAAAACTTTCTTGTTTCTTGGAGACTTTGCTAGTCTTTGCATTTAAGAAAAGGTAGCTTTAGTAGATTTCATTTTTAAATGACTTTTTTTTTTTTTGCTTGTGCGTGTACTTAGTTTATAAACACTTGTTCAAAATCCATTTCAACAGCAAAAGGCTAAAGACATAAAAAGCTAGAGATATCTTCAGACACTTTGTTCTCATACTCAGGAACAATCTTCAAAATCCTTCTTAATGAGGTCATAAAAGAAAAAAAATCGAACAAGTGGTACTTGTGTACCTCTCTAGGATGTGTCATCGGGGTCACTTGCCACTAGGTTATCCTATTTAAAAAGGGATTGGGATAGTTCAATCAAGCATTGCATTAAGAGAGAGACTTTGATTAATTCCTTCTCTTCTCTATTGTGCTATAGATAATTTCAGTAAATTTGTGATACTTTCTTCTTAGTCAGTGTTGAGGCTTAGCGTTCTCAATGCGTCATGCTGAGTATTAGCATTTATTGGGCCTATTTGGCTGAAGTAAAGACGAGTGTAGGCTGCAGACAGCCCTCTAATCTTTGACAAGTGAGGCCATTCTTTCAACATTACCGTTATCTCAGGTCATAGAGAGAAAGTGTTCTCTTACAGGTTTGCTGCAGGAACAAATATGTCATGTAAAGGAAGGGGAAGAAGAAAAAGTAAGTAGGCTGATGATTTATTACAGATTTCTTTTTAGAAAAAATAGATGTGACTTTTACGGAGAAAATTACTGTCTTGAATAACTTGTTCGTTTTGTGACACAATGGGAGAGAATTAAAGGAAGGCAGAGCTGAGCCTTGTTACCAACTTGTGCTGTGACTGGAGACTTGAAATGCAGCAGAACTGCAACTCAGAACCCAGCTGTGATTGCATTATATCTATACTTCTTAAAACCTAACTTTTTTTTTTTTTTAAGTGATTTGCTTTGGTGGGAGATTTACATTTTCATTTAATTCTCATTAAAAAAAAAAAAAGAAAAAGAAAAAACCTCAAAGGACCTGTTTTGACAATGAAGAAATCATTGTTTTGTTCTATTTCCCAACTTAACATGCACTTTTTTTCCATTTGAATATAGGTCTTTAGAATTTGCATGATATGTCTTTTATTAATTGTAAAAAATTTCTCTTTATGTTGTTTGGTGTAATCTCCCTTCTCTTCCCCGGCTGATTTTGAAAATGTGTGTGATAGTTGCTCCGGAGATTCAAGGCCCTGTTTGGGTATACACATATTTAGGCGCTCTTTGAAAAGTGGATTTTTGACCTGATAGACCGTAACGGCTCCCAGGGAGCCACTATGGTCATTGTGTAAATCCTTCTTAGTTTTCGGTTTACTCACTTGATATACCGTAACGGCTCTTAGGGCCGTTATGGTCTTTTGTGGTAATCCAGCTGCTGCACATGCGTGTGAAGCTTTTGTGCCTGAAAATCCTGGGGAAGTTTTGTTGGGAGCGTAGCGGGCACGTCCAGAATTGCTTCCTTTCTGGTGGGATGGGATGAAATGGCTGGAGGAAAAAGTGATGGCTCTTCTTCTTTTCCCTCTGGCAGTTGTCAAAAACACTGGGGCACCTTAAGAACTAACAGCCTGCCAAAAAATGTCTACAAAAAAGCCACAAAACCTACTGTCGGGTGCTCAAAATATCATACGGAAAGACTGATTTGATTCAAAATGTTCACAAGTGTGTAACAGCTGATTTTTATTTATGCAGTTGTTTCATGTATGTCTAAGATGTGTCAGGCTACTGCCCAGTGGGATTTTTGACAACTGAGTTATTGACCCTTGAAAACGGGGAGTTGTAAGTGAAAGGCTGATATAGTCGTAACTATAGCAACACTGTCAGTGTTCCTGTAATTATTAACTTTTTTTAATCAAAAAATTAAGAAGCTGTTTCTTTTCTTAAAGAAACCTCTATTACAAACTGATGATGCCACCACGGAGATGTGATATGTTGAAACAATGCATGTCAACTAATTACTAAAATAATTAAAGTACTGCGAAGGTATCGAAAAGAATCAAACATCACTTGCATGTATGAATGAGGCCTATCAGTTCAAACTGTTTGTACGAGACAGTGATGGCAGACAGGTTTAGCCATCATTTTGTGCTGTGTAAAGCTGTTGGAAGGCTTTATTTTCATTACTTGTGCAACTTTTCATGGAGTGCTCCCATAAGAGAGTCAATGTTTGTACTGAGGCTGCAGGCAGAGATTCAGACATTTATTTGGAGTTAATTCTTTTTGTATGGGACCAAGTGAATTGACTGCAATGTGTGTGCCTGCTCTTAGCATGGAAAACGACTGCGATTCCCACAGATGCAGTTTTACATGGGCTGCTTGGCAGAGAGCACTTCAGGTTGTGATGCCAGTGGATTGTCAGAGCCTGTGTCTCCCTCTGCTAAGAGTTGCCAGAGGTCGAAAATCTCTATCTTGGTGTGACTCTAAGCACATGTGAGACATGTCTTCCTTGTGTCACTTCCCAACTTTTGCTCAGTGATGGCTGTCAGCTGATGTGTTTCAGGTGGGGCACCTTCAAAAAAATGATGCTGCTGTTCTGAAGTAACCCATCACCCCCACGGGGACACAGCGAAAGACTGCCCATCTGAGTATGGTTTTCCAGGACTATATGTGTGCGTGTTTTGGGGGGAATCAAGAGGGGAGGGAAGTACTGTCATATTTCAGCACGATCTCCTGAGCTGCTGACCATATGCAGAACACTGTTGCAGTTTTTTAAGACTTGGCAAGTCACTAAAGCTTTTATTATTGATCTAGAGTTCATTTGCATTCTATAACCCACCTTCTCACAAGGATGAGAAATGTCTGTTTCTGTATAAAACTTGCACACCTTAATATTTAATGTAAGCACAGAAAGAATTTAATTTTGCCACAAATGACAGCAAGTCCTCTATTTTCTTATTCCTTATGATCCAAACTATTGATAGTACTATATTTAATTGAGCTCTTTAATTCCTTCTGTTGAACAATCAGTTGCTAAGTTTTCCTTAGCCAGGTTTTAGATAATGGCTTTTGTTTTTGCTTAGCCATCTGTCCCTGTATTAATTGTCCTTTTCCCTAACATTCACCCATAATTTTGGCAAACTGGTTCCTGAGGTTGGTCTAAATTCCTTTTGCTTCATTTTCTATTGTTGGACACTGTTACCTTTAGCATTTCACACATTTAATAGATGCAGTTCTGGCTACTGAAAAGAAGTTCAGTCACTCGCACTGTGTTTCAGGGAGCTGAAGTTTCTTTATTTTTATGCAACATTCAGTGCTGGCAAAACAGTCTAGAGGCCTGAATTAAAATGGTTTCTTGTGTGCAGGAAATCAGTGTATAGGCCAAGTAAAAACGTTTTTTCTATTTTCTCTATGAAGTGAGGTGAGAGGTCACTTAGAAGGTTTCAGAAGAGCTTCTTCAGAGGTGAGCATAGAAGTTTCGTTTCCATTCTTTGTGCTGAACTACTGTGTTCTGTGTGTTTCACACATCTTCTTCCCCAGTCTGTCACTGGAAGGCTCCTGAACCAGGCCCTGATTCAGTGGTGGTTAGTCAAGTGGTTTCACACAAGTGCTCATATTCTTCACATTATGCTCAGCTTATTGGCTGTATCAAGATCCCACTGTCTCCTCTTTGTTTCCTTCTCTTCATCCCCCATCCTTGACTCTTCTTTCCACTGCTTCTTTCCTCAAAGAAATGCCACCCTACCCCTGTTTTCCTTAAGTGATACAGTTGGCTGCCCTGAGTTAGTGCATCTTCTCTGATGCTGCATCAAGAGACTCCTCAGTCCCTGCTTCATTCATTCTTCCCTCACCAAAATCTCTACTGACCTTGTCCTCTTCCTTTCTCTTCCCTTTTTTTTTTTCCTTTAAATTACATCTTCACCTCACTCTTTTAATCTTGCCTTTGACCTTGTTTTCTTCAGACTTTCTAGGTGAATGCCTACTGTGTCTCCTTTTTTGCATCCCTGGTTGATGATGTGATTTCTTTTCCAGGGTCTCACCTCCTTTCCTTGTTCATCTCTCCCACAGTCCTTCTTTGTCTTCTGTGGTGGCTCAGTTGGGGACATATCCAGGCAGTCTGCATTGTCACTTGCACAAAACCAAAACCCATTCCTCCTTGCGGTGCCTGGGGACCGTCTCACCAAGACCCTATGCATTTGTGACCCCTATCCTGGACAACTGGACCATCCTGCCTTGCTGTGTGCTGGCTGCTCAGGGCTGCCTCTCTTGCTTTGACTCACCTCTAGAGCTGCCTGTTGCATGTTGTCAGCTTCAGTTTTTCATGTCTGTGGTGCCCAGGTCCTGGGCTTTCCTCACTTCAGTACTCTGCCGGACCTGGCTTCTTGCAGCTTACAATTACCCTTTCATTCTCTTCCTCCTATAGATGGTTTTTAGGCTTCTTCCTTACTGGTCCTCAAACATGAACAGTCTTAAAAAGTTCTCCATCTTCCCTGTTTTCAAAGGCACCCTACCTTGTGGTAGGTTAAACATTCATTTGTTGATTGCTGTTTCCAGGCAATGGAAAAGATGTAGAGAGTAACAAAAGTGTATTTTGAATCAAGATGTGAATGTCTGTTAAAATAACAGGGTAATAAATATACTGCAGCTACCTGAAGCCTTATTTATCTCTCCAGCCTCTTTTATCTTCACTTCGCTATAATTCAATCTGTCCTGGTCTAGAATCTGTCTTCTGTTTGTATTCTTCATAACAGGAACATTTTTGCAGAGGTTAGAAAATAATGAAACAGAATATTTGAAGATTAGTATAATTAGAACCACATGCAACTTAACTACTGGTTATTTATTTTTCAAACTAGTATAAGCCACAGAGGCATAAATAAATGTACTTACTAATAGTTATAATATCCTTTCTGTGTACTGAAATCTAAAAACATCTTCAAAATGCCCAAGTTAGCATGTATGACTGTTGTCATGGTGGGAAAACAATTTACATTATATCTGCTTAGGACAGGAACAGTTTGTTTTTCTAAGGCCTCAACTGCAGTTTTCACAGCACACACTGGGCCCTTAGGAGAGGGAAGGAGAACATAGTTTAGATTGGAAAAGACCCTTAAGATACTCATGGCAAGAGTAGGCCCAACCTTATCCTGGTGCTTCTCAAAAGAGAAAAAGGAAAGAATTATTATATATTCTCCCAACTCCCCACTTCTGTGGTTCAGTTTAATGCCTCTGGGTACCGCTGTAAATGCCTGTTTTAGCCATTAGTCTTTCTTCCCCCCATTAACGTATGCTGGTAGAGAATTGGTGAAACAGCCCCTAAATTCCCTCCTTCACCTCCAAAGTCATATGAGCAGGGTCAAGGAAAAGAGGATATAAGAATGTTCACTTTTTTGTGGCTAAAAGTGTTGAGCTCCAAGAGATGAAGTGGAAAGAAGGAGAATCACTTGTGGCAAAAACCACATGGCTTGTTTGTTCTGGCAGGGGTTTGTCAAAGACAGCAGGAACATGAGGGGCAGCACTGCTTTGTCTCACTGAGACACAGCTTCAGTCTACAGAATGTGTGGGGTCACACCTGAACTTGAAAGATACACAGGATACCCACAGTGTGTGGATGCAAAGACCTCAAGTCCTGCAAAAGCAAGGCAGGGCCATCGAAAAGTAATGGTGGAACAGCCTTCAGTCTATTATATATGGGGTCTTGGGGAGACTTTGTATTCCACTGGTGAATTCCCATTCTAATGCCTTTGCTGGAAATGCAGGAACAGGTAGTTTATTCCATCAAAGTATGAGGAATGAGACTAAAAGTTGGGGAAAAACAGTTTTATTATTCCTTGGATTTAAGGAAGTAAATTCTTTTTTGCCACTTTCCACTGATCAGTGCTGCTGTTGTACTATGCAATCTTGGGTCATCTTATATACATACGTGTGTACCTTTATAGAAGTACATTTATATGTGCACAAACACATAGATTGTGTATGTAAATAGATTTACACAGGCACATAAATATATAAACATAAGCACACGTGCGTATAAATGTTCACCTCCAACTATTGTGCCTGCAGGCCAAAAGAAAACCTTACCTTTAAGGGTGGGCCTATTTTAATGTCTGCTTGGAGTCCCACATTCTGTTCTTGCTTGCACACAGGACCAGTGTGTTTTGCATGTTCTCCTTTAAACATGAATGACACAAAAAAGGAGGAAGGCTTTGCTTGCTGGATGTGTTCTAGAAAAGAGAGTGGATATGCCACAATTATTTTTTTCACCACATCTGATGTTAATCTCTGTTAACAAATTTTGCCATTACCGAGACACCAGTTCAACTAAACTGTTATTCAGGAAGAAGATAAAAAATGAAACATCCATGACATTCTTCCTATCAGCTAGGAAACAGATGATGGAAAACAAGGCACCAAGCGAGACTAAAACTGGTTCAAACCATCCAAATTCCTTATATATAATATGAACTTTGGGAGGTACTGTTTCTTAATATTCTTACAGATTACTGGTATGCACTGCAGAATTAAAATGTACCTTTAGGCCTTTGTGCTAAAGTATATTTAAAATGTTAGCCAAAGGAAAAAAGTTGGCTGATTCAGCAATGGAATAATTTTTCTCTTTATCCAGTATAGGACAAAAGATATATGTCATCTAACAGTCTTATTTCCTTAAGCCTAAACTTGTATTCATGGTACAGGTTGTTAAAAAAGACTTAAAGGAAAGCCAAGTGATGCCTTTGTGCATTTTCACAGGGATTGTTTTTCCTCACAAGTTTATATATCAGTGAGTTGAGAGAGTCTGTCTGTCGTTCAGTTTTTATACAGATGTGGAATGCTGTAACACTTACTTAAAGAAACACAGCTGCTCATTTAAATGTCATAAAAGCTGTTATGTGGAAGTAGACTTAATCCTATTTCTCCTTACAGATTTTATTTTCATGTAATCCAGGACTTTTGCTTATCTAGAATGTACTATCATTATGAGCTAAAAGCCTTTTTTTTAAAATATATGTACAGATTGCAAGGGAGGCAGTGGATTTTTCTTCTTCACTTATTTTAAAATAAATATTGAACAGCCTGTGTCAAGAACTGAGAAGGGAAAAACCCTCACTCTTAGGCAGTTGGAAGAATTTCTTCTTCATGGGTCTCACAAGCAAGCTGTGTGCTTGGTGACCTCCTCTTCTGTCTCTTTCTTCCCTTCCCTCTCTGCCAACTTCTCTCTAATGTCCATTAGAGATTAAATTCTTTCCCCCTCTAGGCAGCCATTAAGGACAGAACTGTTTTCTAAAATTTAATTTTAGGAGAGGGGAACCAATGATGAAGATGTGTGTTGCGATGCAGTGAGATAGGAAATCCACATTTAATGGAACTGTGATGTTTGGGAGAAAAGTGGCATCCTGTGAAACAAGGCCATTGGCGAGGGGAGCAGCTTTGGTTCTTCAGCTTTGCCTAAGTGTCAGTGGGACTTTCCATCTGTTCACTGGCCATGGTAAATATATGTTATGGCAACCATAACCACACAAGTAATCTCACCTGGGAAATACAGATAAGAAACTTCCACAGAGCATGTAACAAAACAAGAGAGCTTGCACTTGCACTTGCACTTGCACTTGCACTTGCACTTGCACTTGCACTTGCACTTGCACAGGCCCATTAGGTGCCCCCAAAAAGAGCTGCTACTCATAATTTGGCCTTTTTTTTTCTTCTTCTTCTTTTTTTTTTTCTTTTCTAATTTTATGAAAATAAAATCTTACAGATTTGCAAAGAAGTTGATTTTTGCCCCATCTGGATAATTTTTTCAAGTGTCCATATTGATGACGAACTGACCATCAGATAGGCTGGGACTTTCTAAGTGGGGGATCTGAAACACTGACCTGGGCACCATGGTTTTAGGACAGGTTTCTGAGTTTCCTGGGATGTTGCAACGCTAATCTGATGAGTTCTGTGAAAATGTTAAGAGAATTAAATTATAAAAGTAGCTTTGGAATAGGGAAAAAAAAAAAAAAAAAAAAAAGCTTTATCCATCTTCTGATTTAGCATTAAAATGTATTCCTTGGCCAATGTTTATCCTCCATCACACATTTGTATTATCTGCCTGGTAGGTTCAACAAGGTCTCCAAGCTTGCCTACACAGCAAAGCTTATGCCGGGTAGGACAGGCTGTAATGATATGACTGATGTGTTCCTTGAAATTGGTTCCCTGCTGGGGACACCCTGGGATGGGGTTCATCTCCCCCAGGCATGCTCACCTCCTCAAGGGACATCAGGAGCTGCCTGGGTCAGGAGGAGGATTATGGCTGAATCTGCCCTTGAAAGGTGCACCCAGGGCTTTGACCACACCCCCCAAATATGCACCCATGGGGGTGGCAGGACCTGACCCACCAGCTCAGTAGAGTGAGGGGCTTGACCCTTTCAGGGCAGCAAATGCTGATCACTCATTATGGGCAACTCTGTGGATAGAGAGGTGCTGAGCTTGAAGAGACTGGTGGGTGCTAAATTTGCATTTTTTTTGTTTGTTGACCTTACTAAGGAGATGGTTTTGGAGGGCCACTGCTGAGTTAGGGTTTGGCATGCCTGTTCCCATATAATAAAATTATTCTTCAGTTGTTTATGTGAAAGATCAAAATTATCTGACAACTGTCACATATTTATCATTAACATCACCATATTTGTTATTTCCTTTAATCCTGGATTCCTGAAATCTCACCTTTAACTTTTTTTTACTTTTCAAGAAAATTTTTATCTTTGAAAAAGCTTGAAAATACAAAGTCAGGGACACAGAACCAGAAAATAATGTTTCAATATGCACTTTAAAAATATTGTAATTTTTAATGCATCGTGTTGTTTATGATTTTTTTTTCTTGGTGGTGTTAGCAAATAAAAAATGAGCAGCTTTTTTTTCAAGACGTGTATGGAATAAGGGGCAGATGCAGGATAAATACTGAAGAAAATGTAGACGTTTCATTGTCCTCTGTACAATAACAATAATAATGTTAAATTTTGTAATATGCTGGAAAAGGCAGGGAAATAAAGGAAGTTTCATTATTGGATAATAAAGCACTTAAAGTGTTATTTACTGGAGATCATGAAGGTTCTGTCTTTATAATATTTTATAATCCACCCACTGCTATTATAGTTTGGTATGTTTTCACATTGGATAATCAAACAGAGGTGTATGTAGTTAAAGGCATAGAAGTCAGAATTTTTAGGCATTCCTTGCTATATTTTGAAATTAATAAAATAAAAGCTGGTTTTCAATTGATGTCATTTTCAAAGGAAATAGGGCTGGGATTATTATTGTTACTACCACAATCATCATAGAAAGATTTCGACATTTTGCTAACATTGAGTAGTGCTAACAGCACAGAAGATTCATTTGATCTTATATAATGTTTTCATGGTTAATAAGATTTGCATATGACATTTTTGCATGATTATAAGTGCTGGAATTTCATTGCAGAAGGCATTAACTCCTGCGATTGAAGTTAAGGGAGATTTTTTTTTTCTTTTTTTTTAATAGCTAATCAAGAGTTTAACTGCCTCAGGGGCATTTTAAGAAAATGTTATACTGTACTTAACGAACATTATACTACAAATAAGAGTGATATTCCTGTAATTAAAACAGTCTGGATATTGCTTAATGAATGCTTTTCTTATCTTAATGTGTAGGCAGTAAGGATTCATGTAGTTGCCTTTATTAACTTGTGGAGTTAGTTAAAAAGCTGGTTAAAACAGTAAGTCCATATCAGGTCAATATAAAATGCTTATGTAGGGATTTCATTGCTCTTATAAATCCACTAGTTAAAAATAAACACAGATGCTTGTTTGTGCCATCCTGAGCCATATTGCCAGGTAGTATTTCTGCCTGTAGACATTTCCAAAGTTAAGTGTTGCCTGGAGCACTGCAGGATTTGTAAGCGTTCTTCTTTATCGTCCGTTTAGGAAATATTTTTAAATTTCCACCAGGCTTGTATTCAAAACCAGAGAGCAGTTGGTTTTCAATTAGTGTGGTCACAATTGCTGTTGAATTAATAGCATTGTGTATTCGTTCTTCTTTTCTGTCATAGTGCATCAGGTTTGATGTAATTACAACATTTTCTTTTTTTTTTTTATGTAATTGCAGTACATTGTAGTTTTATAGTTCTGTTCTTCAGCAGTTTAATATTTAGTAATTGCTTGCTAAATTGTTCTCCACTGCTCAGTTATTTGGCACAGAAAACTGAATAAGTCCAGTTTAATACAAAATAATTCTTTGACTTAGCAATTCCTCTGCATAATATAATAATTCTACAGAATAATGCTTGGCTAAACATAAATCATATTTTTACTTTTAATCTTATTCTGAGAATATCATGCAGGTTTGTTTTTTTTCTCCAGCTGAAATTGAGCATCTTTATATTATTTAAAAGATATTCATCACCTGGATTGCATCTGTATACATCTAAGTCTCAATTTTGCACAAGTCTCTGTATGAAAACCTGAAAAAAGCAGGCTGGCCCATGTGTAGCCTAAAAACACATGGAAATGGAACAGTTTCATAATTCAAAATTAATCCCCTGTCCTGGAGGCACTTAAACACACAGTTAACTCTGACTTTGACTAGTTATTTTGATTTCTCTGGGCTAGGTACATGCTCAAGTGGGTTTACAGGAGAAATTTCAAAATGCAGAGAAGAATGCAATATTTTTTTCTTTTTCCTATGTGGTAAAAATGTCTGTGCTTTATTCAGTATTATAATTTACTATGTTTCTAAATTCAAGAGTCATAAAAATGTTTGCGGTTTGACTGTGGACTGATGTAAATTGCAAATTGAGATAAAATATGGTCTACCAATGAAAAATTCTTAGAAGTGTGAAGGGACCTTCAGTTTGTAAAATATCCCCACTACAACCAAAACTATGAAGATGACAGTTTGTAATAAAAAATCAGAAATTCTGAAAGACCTGAAGTGGAGCGTAAATTCCTTATTTCTTCTTACTTCTGCAGCATTAGTATATTGACACTCCATGTCCTTCTGCTAAATTTTGTCAGTCCAACTTCAGTGTAATTTTATTTTAACTCCAATATGAATCAGAAGTGATTTCAAGGACTGTACTGTTTTCCTTTTCTTTCATGCCATGCAGACATGGATATCTAACCTGCACAGGCTCTGGTGGACATAGTGACTCTGTTATGGATGGCAAGATCATTTTAACAGGCAGGAATGGCACTTTATTGATTCTGACTTTATCAAGTGCCTGTTTCTTATTTTGTATATAACTCATTAGCAGCCTGCTCCTAAACTGCTCAGGAGCCTTTGGATGAGTTTGGGACTCAGACTTTAATCACAGTAATTAGCGTGGAATTTTTGAATCCTGGTCTCAATCTTGACCTTGCAGCATTTAGCCAATGCGCACACAGCTGGACCGGTGGCAGGGGCTGCGAGAGCTCAGTAGTGGGGATGCTCCCGGTGTCCTGGTGTGGGAACCGACGCGGAGAGAATAGAGGGGAGTGGGGAAGAAAAGAGGAGAAAACCATGTTCAGTAAGAAAAGAAATTCTGCCCAAACATAGTTACCAGTTTTTGTGTATGTACAACAAGATGGATGGGGGCAAAGTCAGTGTGTGAAAAGGCTGGGGCAAAATTAGGGGCAAGGGAAGAAAGTACCTGATGGTAAGATGGAGGGGAGAACTGGAAGAGCCAAGAGTGGTTTTGCAGTGACATAAGGAATCTCTTCAAAGTTCAGCTTTTCTGCAGAGGCCACTAGGATGTGTATGGCTATATAAAAGTGCAACCATTGCAGATTTGTGGGTTTTATATATTCACTTCCTAAGACAGATTTTGGCATAGGATGTTCCAGGACAGGTTGTTGGTTATATATGCCTGGTCCTTCCCATAAATTGGAAGATTCTCAACCTCCAAAGGCATGCTTTTTCCTTTGTGCCACACAGCTCTGATAACTCTTGGTGCCTATTTGTCTGTACACAAAACCCAAAACCAAGTGAATTAAAACAAATTATACATCGTCATACATCCAATGCAATATCTTCTTACTTCTCAATGCACACCTTAAAAGAGGCTAATTTATGCACAGTTTTCTAAATCTTTCAATGTTGCTATTGATCTTCACCTTTATTGTGGGATATTTTTGTTATTTAAAATGTGTTGCAAATTTCTGTTGCAACTGCTAGTGGCAGTTCTGTTATAAAAATGTAATGCAAGGGCTTCTCTTAAGAAAACATACAGCTAAACAAAATTTTGCAAAATCTCATTACAGTGTTGTAGATTTTTAAAATGCATCTTAGAAACTGAATTAATTAAATAAATGGATTCACTTAAAATTGTCTTGAAACAAAAACTGTCCACATTCTGTATCTTTATATTTAGAAAGACAGGGAAATTGTTATCTTAACTACATGTTTTTTAGGTGAAAGCGGCAAAGTTGAGTGTGTTGCAGACAGACAGAATGCTTTTCCATTGCCGTGCTGTGGGTCTGATTAAGCAGCAGAAAGCATCCCAAGAAGCCAGATACTTTGTGAATGGTAAAAGCAAAGTGAGGTACAGCTCAGCTCAAGAATACTTTATGGGCATGACGAGTTATTCAGAGTTATCCACACCGTAAGGAAGGGAGCAAAGCCTCAACTGTATGTCACATATGCTAAAGCTCCCCAAGACAGGACACCAATTAACCTTGGATGATAGCAAACACACACACACACACAGGCTGCCCGAGAGGAGCAGCCTGTTGCCATTAGTAGGAAGCAGCAGCCCTTGTCACCCTGAGCCATTATTTAAATCTCTTTTAAAATTCAATTCTTAAGTCAAAGAACTGCAACACTCTCCTCTTCCTCACAAACAGACTATTTTTGCTGCCCTGAAAACAGGAGACGTTAGTAATATGAGAAGCCAGTGGTCCTTTTATTTTTATCCTCGCTGTCCAATTTGGCCATTTTGAATTGAGAAGAAA